CAAAAAAAAAAAAACATCCAAAACTAATAAAATTTACTAATGCTAAAATTAAAATAACTAAGAAAACTACTACAATTCTGAAAATATATAATTAATAACTAATATATTCATTTTTCTAAATATTGTTAAATATTATAACAGTATATAAATGATACTGAAATAACACTGAATCACGTGGCATCTACAAAAAAATGGTACTACGCATTATGAAATTTTTGTATCCAATTGGTCTGTTATTTTTAGTATAAAGTCAGTTCCCCTCAGCTCACATTTTGAACAGTATATATGCATTATTTATGTTTTATCCTTTAAACCTTTAAAAAACCTTTCTTTATGAACTGTTTTGCTTGAGAAGTATACTTATCCTATCTTTCTAAATGTGGGCATTAAGTGTTTTGTATAATTTTAATTACATAACAGTTTATTTAATGTAAATGCAAATGAATTAATGTAAATGCAAATGCAAATCCCTTCTTATAGAAAATGACCTTTTAGAGAGGTGCTTATTTAACTTTGTGGGAAATTGGAAAGCAGAATTTATGATCAGGCATCTTGAAATTAGATTCTAGATTTATTGTTTCTGGTTCAACAGGCTTAATATTGCGATGATGCATCATGAAAAGATGCATCATATTTAGCTTGTCTTTTCTGTAAATGTTTAGTTATCTGACTTCAGGACTGAAGAAAGGTCCACTGTGCAGAGCTGTGGAACCGGCCCAGGTATACATGTGAGAGTTCAATACTTACTGTTTATTTGTGACTTTTTATTCAGTTGAACAGATCTGACCAATTAACCTATAAGTCATGGTATTCTAAAGTTTGAATTTAGGTATCAAAAATCATACCAGATAGAGTCAGTGTGTCTTGTTTGTCTGTCTACTGGGATGTTATGTTGTGTTTGTGTTTTTATGTTGCTGTGGATGCTTAGCTGAAGTGTGTTATAAAGAGGAGGATAGGGAGTGAGGGGTGTTATTGTCCCTTCCAACAATAGAAGGCCAGGGGAGACACACTGTTTGTGTTATCAGATTAGAAAGCTTGTTAGGGCATGTTTAAGTGCCTGACCCCTTAATGCTGCACACAGAGCTGCTAAAACCACTGTTGACTGACTCAGCGTCAACACACACACTGCACCTTGATTTATGCTGATGGAAAATCACTGGCTTCACATTAACCTGCTTATTACACAGCTAATTGGCAAGTAAATAAATGGACATGAAATATTGATTTTCAGTTATTGTATTATGTGACAATAAAGTGGCCGCAAAGTGATATGAGAGACACAAGCTTTGTGGGAAATTAGTTTCCTGAGAAAACGGCCAATTATATAGTTTAACTGTCATTATATGAGAAAAATTTGACCTCAGAATGCTGTGATTGACTAATCAGAATCAGAATCAACTTTTATTACAGGCTAAAGCACTTGTCAGGCCTAATGTGTCTGCAAAATGGAGGAAGGCCATCACTCTGCCCTGCATCATACAGTGAGAACTTTAAATGCACACTCAGAGTTTTACCTCTGTTAAACCGGTTTTTCTCATCCTTTCACAAGATATCCAGACTTATTCTTCATTCTTCTTTTCGCACTCATACATAGTGTATTTAGGAATGGAGACATCCTCAGTCCTGCCATGCGTCTTATCATTCCCCGCCACATGCAGAAAAATCTAGAGCAGATCCTGCGCCTCATTTCTGAAAAAGCCATGCTTCGCACAGGAGCCGTGCGCAGGTATTCAGTCACACATACTGATTGTTTTATAATGAACTTATGAAGCATGTCATATTTATATCCTCAGACACTGTTTAAGGTTGTTTTCATTCCATAATCATTTCACCTTTTACCTCTCAGGCTTTGTACTCTGGAGGGCTTCACAGTGACCTCCACTGAGGATCTGGAGAGTGGCCAAAGTTATGTAGCTGTGGGAACAGAGAGGTTCAAGAAACTTCCATATGTGGAGATACTGCTGGACAAAGCAACAGGCAACAGTGCAGACAGGTGATGTTGGTAGCTAATTGGGATAGACGGTAATGTAATTATTATGCACATACACTATCATTCAAAAGTTTGGGGTCTGTAAGTGTTTTTTAAAAGAAATTATTACTTTTATTCAACAAGAATGCATTAAAATTAAATTGATCAAAAGTGACAGTAAAGACATTTAAAATATTACAAAATAGAAACTATTTAAAATAGAAATTTATTTTGAACTTTCTATTCATTAAAGAAGAATCTGAAAAAAGAATCCTAAAAAAATGTATCCCAATTTCTACGAAAATATTAAGCAGCACAAATGTTTTCATCATTGTTAATAATAAGAAATGTTTCTTGAGCACCAAAACAGTGTACTAGAATATAGAGTAAACGCTGCTGAAAATTCAGCTTTGCCATCACAGGAATAAATACAATTGTATAATATATTCAAATAGAAAAGAGTTGTTTTGAATTGTAATAATATTTTGCAATATTACTGTTTTACTATGTAGCAAATAAATGCAGCCTTGGTGAGCATTAAAGACTTCTTTCAGAAATATTAAAAAATCTTAGACCCCAAACTTTTGAATGGTAGTGTAAGTTTAAAAAAACCCCGTTAAACTGGATCTGTCTGTCTTCACTGTAGACATTATGCAGGAGACAGAGGATTACAGAGAAGAATTGAGGTACTATTTACAATTAATATACAGTGGAGTTGAAATATATCTGAGAAAATTATTTATTTTTGTAACTAAAAACATTACAAATCATTAAAAACGTAGTACATTTATTTGAATGAAAAGGTTTACAAAAATGTATTTTTTTCTTTAAATCCAAAATTTTATTTTCAGGTCTAAATTAGATTTTTACTCCCAGAATTTTTAATGAGGTCTCAGACTTATGGACTCCACTGCATAGTTATTTTTAATATGTCAAGACAAATACATTTCAATGAGACATTTGTTCTATTGAAGTTCCTTATTATTCTCTCATGACGATCCAACTCAGAGTAGAAAGATGTTTCCCCAGGACAGCCACAGTGACTCCACCCTAATGAATTCACATGAGGTAAAAAACAAGTACTTTTTTTCACACACACACACACAGATCGATAGATAGATAGATAGATACTAGTTAGTGTCCATTGCTTTTCCATCATTGTTCAACTAAATACAAAAAGTTTTCAGATCATTGACCCACTTTATTGAACTTGTCACAATCATCCTGTAAGCATCTTGTGTAAATGGTGTCTGCTTTAGAGGGAAGGCAGGCGTGTGAAGTCCACAGGAGATGAGGTGGAGCGAGAGAGCTCCCCTCAGCCGGTTAAGAGGAGAGGAAGGCGAGGAGAAAGAGAGGAAAACTCTGTTTTCTACGCCAGACCTGTGAGAGTCCGCAGACACCCTCCCACAAACAGACCCCCTCCTAGAGCCGCAACAGGTGAATGCTGAATAAATAAAAAAATAGTACTCCATACTGTGTCTAAAATGTAACTTATTATTAAAGTGTTGCAGTCTTTCTTGTGTGATATTGTTTAATTGTGTTAGATGAGCCCAGTGTGTTTAAGGCCTCTAAGAGCAGGATGAGGGAGGAGGTTCGAGGTGCTGAGGAGGTCGCAGAGGATGAAAACACAGCTGTAGAGCTTCCCATTGACCAGGTACACCTCTAATCTTCTTTTGTCTCATCTCATCTCGTCTACTATAAAAATGTTTATAATTTCAGAGAGAAGCAGAAGTTGTGGAGGATGAGGATCTTCTTGAAAGTAACCAGTTTGATACAGCCAACATAAATCATGTGAGTGTGTGAAATACACATTAATGTAACGATGACTTGATCATGAAATAACTAATTGTTTGTTGTATTAAAGAGAAATTCAGCTGAACTACACAGGCCATCAACTGATCTCTCCAGTGAGAACAGAGAGAAAGAGTTTGTAGTGTCTGAGAGGGAGACAAGGGAGGACACGTCAGCTTCACAGAGAGAAGCACAGCAGGGATACACGTCCAGCAAAGAGTCTCAGCATGATACAAACAAACATGTTGTAAGACACTAAGCATTGACCTGACTTTTTTTTGTTGCATTTTTTACGTCATTTGTTTTTCACTTAGACTTACATGGAATTGAATCAGCTTAAAGTGTATGTATATGTACTGTATATATATATTATGTATATATAGAATGGTTATAGTATTATTGTATATTATACTATCAAATCATGCAGATTTTTTTCAGGGCTGCCGTCTTATGTACAGTAAAAGCCTTGAGATTTTTTCTTCTTTTTATATTAGGAGTCACCCACACGGCATTCCAGATCTTCTTCATCATCTTCATCACCCAAAGTCTCTAAACATTCCCTACGAAGTGAAGTAACACAGCAAGAACCTGTCAGTTTATGAGTTTTAAACAATATATTTGATGCATTCAATAATATATGCAAATTATGCAGTAGTATTTTGACATTTTTTCCCCTTTATATAGTGTCATTTAAATTAAAGGGCTTATATGATTATACTCTCAAAAAAAGGTACCAAACTGTCACTGTTGTGTCCCTTTCAAAAGGAACTAATATGAACTATAATGTACCTTTAAGGTACTAAAATGTACCTTTTAGCTTATGTACCTTAGGAAACTGCATCTGTGACATCTTTGTACCTTTTAATTCATAGTCCATTATCAGAACTGTCACAGATAATGGAAATTAGATGTGGCAGACTTACATACTTAGCTATTATTGTAAATTTGTAAGTAATAACCATCTAAACACATTGTGTTGCTCTGTATGTGTATGTGTGTGTGTATCAGACTGGGGTTTCTCATGAGGAACAGACAGACAGGGATGCTGAGCGACCTCTTCAGGCTGAAGATACACACATTCTCTGAACATGGAGTTCGCTATGAAATTGGGATTGCTTTGGTGAATGAACAGCATTTAAAATAATGTACCCTTGCAAAGTAACAGTGATCTTACAGCATGCAGAGATTCACTGAGAAATGTTTTTATTTTTTTATTTCTTATGTTTAACAAAATAATACCTCTGAATGTAAAAGACGTTTAAAATAAAAGTATTTAAACACTGGGCACTTTCACATTATTAATACGAATCCATATAAATATCAGTTAATAATACAATATATACAAGTATTTTGTATGTTCCACAATCCACACACTTAAAAGTTACTCTTTCCACAGTAGCAATTAAAGTGCAAAACATTTGGATTTCACCAGCATGGTTCAAGTACAGATATAAAGTCATCCATCACCTCCTCTTAGCACAAATTCACAGCACATACTGAAAATGGAGCAGCACAGATATAGTGTCAGATGAATATGTTTGTGTGTGTGAGGTGTGATCACATGGCTGGAGCAGATCCACAGTCCTCCTTCACCTCCTTGTCCAGTGGAATGTAGTGGTCACTTGTGTTGTGGGCTCCTGCGCTGTCCGTCTCAGAGACAGAACTCAGCACGCACACAGTCACTCCAGACATGATGAGTAACATACCCAGCACAGCTCCTACATGAGCAGAGAGACAGAGTCAAAGACCTGTGTAGCTATACTGAGAGAGAGAGAGAGAGAGAAAGAGAATGTTAGTAGCACAGAAGCTACTTACTCTTTCCTCCAAACTCTTCTCCAAGCAATTTACCCATTAATAACGTGAACAGAAATGTGAGGGAGTTCACCATGGGAACAGCCAGAGACAGATCTACAAAACAAACAGCACTTAAAAATGCAAGACTAATGCTTGCTAATATGTGTGTACGCCCAAAGAGTTTAAGCCTTAATATTTGCAATAAATGTTTTTGATGGCTGCACAGTGGTTATGCTTGGAATACCAGCTTACTAACTGCATACTAAACAGCAAGCATATGCTGCCTACAGTTTAAATTAAAAAGGACATTTCACATTGTCATGTTGCATTTTAATTAGGCAATTTGGGACCAATATCATCTTAGAAATAAAAAAAAATTTTTGGAATCAAGTCTTTGTGCAAAAATGTTACCTTTTAGCAGCCTGATTCAAAACAGTTTAGTGCATCACACAGTGGGATAGTATTACAGTATTCTCTGAATTATACTGCTATTTTGGACAGTGTAACAGGTCATCCAGATATTCCATGCATACAGAAAATGTGAATATTGTGCACAGTATATGTACTATATACTGTATGAGACTGAATCCAGCTTCAGCCTCATATATACTGCAGAAATAGTAGTACGATACTATGCTACTAAGAACAGACAGTCAATACCTAGAAACTTGTGGAGACAATAAACTTCTCACCTGTAGAAGCAAGAGTGAAGTAGAACACTAATGATCCACTTTGGTTCAAGAGGAATGGGACCAAATACTATTTTAAATAATAAATAGGTAAATTAATTATAAATACACACACACACAAATTAATTATAAATACACACACACACACACACACAAATTCTCATAAGCACTTGTTGTTATATGCGCATAAAAGGATTATAAAACACACCTTCATATTGAGAAACAGGAATTTGATCTCAGCCAGAAACTGGAGGAGTTTATTGTCTTTCTGAACCCCTTCAATGCCCTCTGTGCCTTTTTTCAGGAATGGGTTTGTGCCTCCCCACAACATCGCGACCAACAAAAGACAAAACACTTCACCTACAGAGAACATTATTAGGACGTTTCTATTACATACATTACAATTTTTTTTAAAACGCAACATGGACCTTCTACATTAAACTATGCAGATCAGTTGATCACATAATTATTATTTACTCGACACAGTTTCGAGAAAGCACCAAAATGTCTCGCTTTTAACGTTAAACTTATTGGTTTGCACAGGCACGCGAGCAAAGAATCACTTGCAGTTTTATCAACGACTACAATTTATCTTTAACACTGTGTGTGGTGGTGAACTAATTTATTTGTTTAGTTAGACAGTTGTAGACGACATTGCCAAAACATTTGGAAAAACTCAATAAAAATACACGGCAATCTTACTTGTTGACACCATTTCTATTCTTCCGTAAGTAATCTGGTGCTTCCTTGACGACCAGTTTCTGCTTCCTGTTGATATCTAACTCAGACAGATTGGTTAAAACGACACGGCCGCCCTTCGTTTCAAGCGGCTCTTGTCTATCCATTGTAGCTTAAGATCTGCAGTTCAAAAACGCGAAGATTTTAAAATAAAAGACATTTGTTCCGTTGATTGGAACACGAAACATCCGCATACCAAGAACAAAATTTAAAACAAGAGTTTTGAAAAGGTAGACGTTAATAAAATTGGTCCGAGTAAAGCAGATACTAAATTAGGCTAACGTTACATTACATTTCCTGAAATTCCGTCTGCATGTTGTATCGATGCAAAGTAGGTTTATATAATTTTTAACTTAAATATAAATTAGGAGACACTTTTAACTGGAAAACAAAATCCACTTTGGTCCGGAGGTATAGCCTAGATGGTGGGAGTTCTATTAATTTAACTTATTTCCTTAAGGCTTAAGCTAGCAACACTGAACACCTGGAGCAAGTTCAAGCTCAAACCGGTGCACAACGTTCTTCTTTTTCTTCTTCTTTGGTGTTTATTGGCGGTTGGCAAACCAACTTGTAGGTGCATTACCGCCACCGACTGGACTAGGGTGTGGAACAGAATACGTGCTTATGGGATTGACATAATGCGAGAAGGGGAAAAAAAAATAAAAACAACATTAACTTCATTCGTCTGATGCATAAAGGCATTTCTCCCATCTCCACCTGCATTGATGATACCGGAGATGAATTAAATGATCCACTACAGATTCTTAGGGCTTGAGCTTGCAATACATCTAATTGTTTGAGGTTTGTTTCTGCTGCCGACATATAAGCTATACATCCATAGTCAAAGACAGACCTCATGAGTGCCCAGTATATATTTAGTAAAGATGCTCTACTTGCTCCCCATTCCTGTCCTGATAAACACAGAAGAATATTAATAATCTTTTTACACTTGTCCTTAATTTTATCCAGATTTTCCATGTCAGTTTTTCATCAAACCAAAGCCCAAGAAACCTTACGGATTTTACTTGCTCCAGAGGATTCCCATACAATTTTAAAGAAAGGGGTGTGAATTTATGCTGCCTTGAAAAACAAATGACCTGTGTTTTTGATACAGATATTTTAAATCCCCATTTATTAGCCCACTTTTCAACATCAACTATTGCATCTTGCATTTTTTTATTAATATATGATATATTGCGACCTCTAATCCACAAAGCCCCATCATCTGCATGTAAAGATTTCCCAATGTTATGTTCAACTTGAGAGAAAATGTCATTAATCATTATATTGAATAATAACGGACTACATACACTACCTTGTGGTGTTCCATTCTCCACTGTATACACCCTGGAGTATTCTTCACCTACTTTCACTTGTATTTTTCTATCAAATAAAAAGTCCTGAACCCAATTATATATTCTACCACCAATTCCCAAAGACTTTAATTTTATTAATAATCCTTCTTTCCAGAGCATATCATATGCCTTTTCCACATCAAAGAAGACAGCTACTACTACTTCTTTGTTTGTCTGTGCTTTTCTGATAATACAGAGTCCATTGTATTCCGATCCCTACGGAATCCACTCTGATAAGGAGACAAGAGATCTTTACTCTCATTTGCTCCTAATTGCAGATTGTCTAACCGTAGTCACATTCCCTGAAACCTTCTTTGCTGCTTCTGCATAACTGATTCCCTGTACAACAAGACTCATTTAAAAAAGTAAGTAAACAACTCACATACTTAGATATATAATCACTTTGTTACATCAAAATGAGACTTAAAATGGCCTGAAAACATGATCTGTGGGAGTTTTAGTGAGTAATCAGCTTGGTAAAATTTAAAGTAAATCTGTGTCTGTGACAATATTTACCGAGCTTTGATTAGCCTACTGATTAACCGAAATAATTCAAAAATAGTTAAAAGTTAACTATTAAAAAGAATAGCTGAGTTCACATAAGTTCACAAATAAAATATGTTTAAATTGTTACTGCTACTGCCTTCAGTTATTATTTTGGAATAAATGTGAAATGCTTAAAAACACTAACTTGATGAGATTCATACTTCGCTTTAATAAACAGGATATTGTTATATTTTTAATGTAAAAATATAATTTTTTTCTGGTTGTGTAAGTAATGTTTATTTAACCAAGAACATGTGACTGGGACAGGAATTTACATTTTATTTATTTTTTTTTAAAAAGGACTTTGCCGCTTCATTTCAGAACACTACCGCACACCACTGAGCTGGAGGTATTACCGAACTGCCCAAACATGTGTGAGGGACTTTGTGAATTTAATTCTGAATACAATTCTGCAGAATTTTCTGCAGGCACAGATTCTAGAAGAAAAGATTGAATCAGTATGTTTTTAACCAGTTTTGCTGGTTAGTGTTTTTAAATTTCCTACATGTCTCTGCAGGGTCTTCGGTTTTCTTCAGTAGTTTTCAGGTAGCTTATTAGGATTCTCTCCTCAAGTAATAACTTGTTTTTTATCTGAAGCTTGATTTCAATTCGGGGTTAAATGATTTAAACCTAGTTCAACAATAATTATGGCTTGAGGTAGGATTGATGCAAGCTTTGACGTACAGCTTATATCTAACAATGTGTCTTTTTCAGTTTCAAATGAGGATGGATATGGAAGCACTACAATCATTATTCTCTCAGTACTGATTGTCATTCTTTTTGCTGTTGTGATGTTTTTACTATTACGAAAACAAATAAAGTCCTACCTATGAACCTTCAATCTCTTGCCATTATCACTATGGCCCTTTCTGGCATGTCAAACCATCATTACTCCAAAATAAAACTTCTGGCATTGCTTAGGGCAGGCATGGCGAACTCCGGTCCTGGAGAGCCGCAGCCCTGCAGAGTTCAGCTCCAACCCTAATTAAAACTCACCTGCCTGTAGCTTCCTAGTAACCCTTCAGACCTTGATTAGCTTGTTCAGGTGTGTTTGATTAGGGTTGAAGCAAAACTCTGCAGGGCTGCGGCTCTCCAGGACTGACGTTCGCCTATAGAGAACAGAGAATTTATGCATTTACTGTGTCAACACAGACGGCGCCAGAAAAAAATCCCTTAAACAGTCAACAGATAATACTGTAGTTTCTAAGATGATCTAGAAGGATGTTGCTTATTTTAAATAGGCGTAACGATGGAGTGCAACGGTTGGAATGTGGGCGGTTTGGCTTGGATTTGTAATGCATGGATGGCATGACCAATATTTTTCTAAGCCCTTTCTTGTTTGTTATACAAAAGTTAAATGCTCCTTAAATGCTAACCCCCTGCTTACTATGGAAATGCTAAAATGTGTTTAAAAGTGTGACCCCCCCCAGGCTCAAATGTCAAGCTATGCCTTTGCATGTGATAACCACAAAAATGCAACAAGATGAAACATGCATGCAAAGCTTTACACACAGCTAGCCTCCACACTGTTAGCCAAACCACAGAGAAGAAAACAAGTGCAAATCTTTATTTGCAGTTTTGTCCTCATCTGAAACAGAAGATGACACTTAAATATGTTAAACTAGAAGTGTTTGAGATTGTCACATCAAGATGGATATTATTACTATATCTCACAATATAAAAGAACATAAAGGCATTTAAAATTACTACAAAAAGCATTGAGCTTTAAAACCCTGAAATTCTATTAAACTGGCTTGTAAGCAATCATGACTATCTTGCCATAACTTACATTGAGGACACACAGTATATGGATATATTGAAAATAATTTACTGTATGTACAATAAGTTATTTACAGGACAAATAACCATTACCACGCAGGCACTATTGCAAAACATTTCTAAATGCTGGATTTTTTGATGCATCCTAATACTTTGTGAATAAACTGAATAATGCTATTAATATCACTGACCACATTGATCATTTTGCACCATCGTAATCACAATGTGCTGCACTGGTGGGCTAGTCTGAGATCACAGCAATTTTTATCTGTTTAAAATGTAATTTACTGTGTGCTGTGTACACTAGTTAACCTTTAGAAATGTATGCCAATGAATTGTCTGGAATTCCACTAATGGACAATGTTTGTAGACAGTATATAGGCTACAGAGGCTGCTGCACACATATTTAAAAAAGGAAAAACACTAATGTCTAAACTTTACTTCTAGATTATAGTCTTGGAGAAAATCCAAACATAGGCAATAAAATGACCAAAAATGGCCTGTTTCTGATATTTTAGAGTAAACTCAGCACTGATAATTGGTGAGTAATAACCCCAATGGGTTATTACGAGCTGGCGGAGAGCGAACTGATTCGCATTCTCACCAAGCCGTGAAGAATCTTGGCTTAGAATGGGCGTCTCGGGAAGAGCCTGCCCGCAGCCGTTTAGACAAATGATGCCTGCTGGGCTGTCGTCAACGAATCTCCTGCTAGAGACCGGTGCAGTTTTTCCCGGAAGTTCACAATGAACTTACCGAGGCGTGGCGCGCCCTTACTCGGTGCATGTCCACTTTTCTATTTCTGCCACCCTCCCCTCTGTTGACGGTGTTAAAGTAAGAGGATGTGGCAAAAGCTCCCCTTAGAGAAGAGAAGGTCGCTGCACACCTCTACCCGCATCTGCCTGGCAGATTTGCAAAGAGCTTCACTTCAGCACAGAAGTCATCGCAGGTCATGCGCCACTTCCTGCCTAAGTGCTTCAGCCCTGTAGAATGAGGTTACTCGCTCCAGTTCCACCTCGCTTCAGAGGCATTATTCAAACTTCAGTACAGGACAACAATGCTCACGTTCTCCGATCTGAAGTGCAAACTCTGCTTGCAGAAGGAACAGTAGAAAACGGTTCCTCTAGCGAACAGCGTGTTACAGTTCGGCTCACAACTGCAACAAAAGAAGGCCATCACAAACGATATACGCTACAAAAAAAAAATATTTATTATAAATTTTTAGGGAAAAACATAACGGAAGAAAAATAAAAATAAACATTCAAAACGCTGACGTTCTCAGCCATGGCCACCAAAATATAAGAAAATAGTAAGATCTGGTGGAGGAGAAGTCCTAAACCAAGGGCACCTGGTAACGAAACAAAAACAGAAAAACATGGCAAAACCTGTTTAATGTCAGGCTTTTACAACTGCTACTTCCTCTTTCCCAAGAAAAATGGCCCAACACA